GACAGTTTTGAAACGAAACATAATCATAGATAGTTCTAGGGTTTTCTAGCAGTGATGATTGTGCTATAGATAATAAACCACGTACAACTGAATCACAATTTGTCCAGCGAATTCCTTGTACGGTTTTGTTGTGTTAGTAGCACGTGTTTTACTGCTTTAAAACTAAAATCCTAATTCAGGAATTGGCAAAAGCCCTACACTTGTAAGCTGTTTTTTACTGGACTAGTGGAGGGAGGAAGGAAAGGAGGAGTCTTCACCAGTTTTGGTGTGGAGGCTCAACCATGAATTTGTTGCTTCCATAAGCATATCTATAAGAAGGAAACTTGGCACTCAAGTGTTTGTATTTGTTCAGACAGATCTCTGGAGCTACAAGGCATGTAACAATAGGAACTTACAGACACCTACATGAGTATAGAAGAGACGCCATGCTTGTTTACTGTCTATGCTTCCCTCCACTTATGTACAATGTCACTCTTCTCCCTGTGAAGACATATTTCTCCTGTTTGCCTTGCTTTTTCACACACAAAAGAAAAAAAATGTGATTGCAAAAACTGGGAGACTTGAGGACTAGTTTGGTACCTGACACTACCTTAAATCAGTTTAACAAAAAAAAGAAAAGAAAAGTTAAGATTTTGTATTTGATGTCATACGTGGAAAATCTGAAAGTAATTGCACGCAAACAGGAAGTACAGAATTAGCAATGTAGGTAAAGCTGTGCATAGTGAATGTGAGCGCGCTAGTAGTTAGCAGCCCTTCCAGCCTCATACTTAGTATCGCCTTATGTTCAAAATAATCATCACCCTTTTCTGTTTCAAGGCAGGCTGTTCGCCACATTTCATGCTTATTAGTAACTATAGTGTGTGGGGAGAGTTACAGACCTGGTTGTGCTGTTAAGATCAGATTCCTGTGTTTCAAGAAGATAGTAAGTTAACCAAGCTCACGTAGGAGTGTGCTTATGCAGGAATGGATTGCAAGTTGCATAGAGAGAGCGCTATCCATAGCTAAGTACAGACAGTCAAAAGCCCCAAGGCAGAAGTGATTAAGTTTTTGCAGGTTGCTCTAAGGTGTGTAGACTGAACTAATAACAAACTGAACTAATGTTCAGTTTTCAATTGGGAAAGACGGGCAGAGGCTTGCACTGACCGAGGCCAGAAGGCAGGGAGTGCTAGAGCATGCCTCCCAGCCTGCACTGTGGGGGAAA